AAAAATTAACACAAGGATTTAACGAGGTTCGGCTAAGCCTAATCCTCGGGGCAAAAGAAGAGAGAGTTTTCCACTATGAATGAGAAGAAAAACACAATACAATCTATAGAATCTCCAACTACAACCTCTATATATAGATCCCAAAAGGTCTCAAACATATATGAGAAAGGTTTCCCAATTTGACAAGGATTATAGGTTTTCTTTTCCCAAATCTATTAGGACAATGGGTTTTCCTAAACCTATAGGGACTATGGGTTTCCTAAAAATACAAGGAAATAATTTAAGCCACAAATAACAGTATTTTTATGGGAATTCTATTTATCGTCGTAGGATCCCTATTCAAGATCATTGCAGTTCCTTTTCGTGTATTTGAGTTTCTCTTTATTAATATGATCTCGTTGCAATAATTTATTTATTTATTTAAAATATTAATATTGCTGAAAAATCTTGAATACACTAGTGATCGACTTAATTAGGATTGTGTTTAAATTGACCTTATTATCCATACATAATTAGCACAACCAATTCCAGATGTAGGAATCTGCACATTACTTATCCTTTAATAGTTTGCGATAAAGAAATTCTCGAATTATATACGTAATAAAATACGATTTGGCCTTGGGGATATGAACAATTTTGAATTCCCAACGTAAAAAGTAGTGATAGAAATAGGAGTATAAAAGATAAATTTAATTATATGTACGACTTGAAACGTGTAAAGTAAAATTGATAGGAAGACGGACAAACCGAAAGGAACTACACGCAACTCGCAAAGGGTGAAAAAAGAGTCTTACAAATGTCAAAAACTAAGCCGTAAAAGTTGAGTGTCAAAGTTTTCAAACTAGATAAGTTGCGGTACAGCTACTTGTTCAAGAGTTCCTCGAAAAAGGTAAAAAATATTTCTTAATACAATCAGACCTCTCTGTAACAGTAATTTACTATAAAAATTAAGTTTTCCTTCGACCTAATTTTTAAGTTATATTTTATTTTTTATAACAAATTTTCACCTATAACACCAATATTCATATATATAGTAGAACGTTCTTTGTAAAATTACTCTTTTATAAAAGTCATATAGAATAACTATAAACTTTGTCCAATTCGGTGGGCTTGAGTGTAACGACCCGGCCGGTCGTTTTAAGAATTAACGCCCCAATCCCCTATTAACTGCTTTCCCCGCATTTATTTCTGCTATTGTGAGTTGTC